ACAACTACATCCTCCTTTCTCATGCATTTTGTTGCTTTTCTTCTGCATGAGTTAATTCAGACTAATAAGTATTAGCCTCCAAAGAGGAGGGGGGAGGGGTGCGAGAGGTAAACTATATCTATGCAATCTCATGTGCCACTGGGCCCCGGTAAGTTCCACGTAGTGGTTCTAGTTCGTTCTGAAGTTGTTGCCCCGAAATTGAAACCACTCAGGCCGACTTCCCCTTGAAGAATAGCTGACCCCTGCATTTATTTTATCAAACCTCCTCCATGTGTTACCATCCTCCACCTATGCAAAACCTGAAAATTTCAACGCTGCATTCTTCTGTTTGGGTGCGGAGTTCAATCTAGACCGGGTTGCGTTATTTTTGCCTCCACCTATGGTGTTTACCTATGGCGTTAACTTGACACTGAATCGAGTAAATATGGGTATATCAATACAACAGAAACCCGAAGTTCACATACACTGAATAGTTTTACAAAACAAAGCTTGTAACCTGTGCAACATACAGGGATTACATTGTTTGTTCATCGTTCCTCTCTAATTGCTGTTTATGGAAAGATGATTTGTGAAGCGCAATGTTGTTATGTAAAGAATTTTGACTGCATCTTCCCTCTCGGTATTGCTCGCTCTGTACCGTCTACATTTCAATAACAAAACGCAAATAAAACTTGGCCAGTAGCTTTCTATATCAGCTTCACGCTTGGTCAACAACGCGTGTACCTGAAATCAGCTTTATCATTTCCGCTTTCGATTTCGATAGAGGTATAGATTTGCTGCAAGGGAAGCCATCATTTCAGTCTGAATTATCTCCAAGTGCAACAAGTCTATGATCAAGTAAAGTAAGACCTAAGATAAGAAATCCTACTTTAAACTACATATCGAAATGTCGCGAAATAGGTAGTGTGTCCGTCTGAGTAGCTAAAGCAGCCGCGTTACTGTTTCGCGGAAACGTTTGATTTATTCTTGGGAGCCAGGGCGTACTAACTATGACATAGCACACACGCATGAATGTTTTTCACCTGAATTCGTCGATTTTTGTGAAGAAAAAAAACGTAATTGTTTAGTAAACAGTGATTTTAAGGTTTACTTCAATTTCTGAGAGTTTTACCCTCAAAACCAAAAAATTTAACATTCGATGGGAAATGGAAGGCAAAGTTGAAATATGAAATTTGCATTTGTTAATCGATTAAGATTTAACTTTTCTCCGGTCTTGGTAAACAGCTGTTGTGTTATCAAGACTTTCGATTTTCTGTTTTGGCTGTACTTTGTGAAGTATATCGCACACACAGTGCTGTTCATGATCCGGTGTAATAACTACGCTCTGGAAGCAAAGTTCTTTAGAGAGAGTCACGCTTAATAATCACGAAATTATTCAGAGTTTTCAAGAGTTTAGCATATTTTGATACCTTAGGGTGAGAACTAGTAAATTTCCTCTGTTCTTTTCCCAAGGTTATTTTCTTTGTTTTAAACAAGGATAAACCTGGATTTAATCTCAATACTGGTTAACTAGTACAACATTGAGTTTAAAAGTTGAGTTTAAATACTAAATTATTTGCACAAATGTCTATTAACCCTTGTATTTGTATTTAATATTTATTTGCCATACGATTACAATCACAAAAAGATGACAAAAAAATGTAGAAAGAAATAGCGAGGAAGTCCAAAGGAAACTATAAAGCTTATGTTAATTAGGCCTCCTCAATTACAACTTTTCGAAAGTGGCATAAAAATTACGGCGACGGATACTTAATATTATCAAGTGGAAAATCAAAATAACAATCAATATTACGGAAGTTTACAAATGTTGAATATTTAAGTCCCAAAAATGACTCGAAATGACAAACATCAATTTTCTCCTTACATTATCAAAACACAATCAAGAGAAAAAGTTGTGAGAATTTATGAAAAAATCACCTAAGGGAAAATGCTTTGATCTTTTATCAAATTCTCTCAACGTATTCTTTATGGAATCGTGTAGAGATCAGTTTACAGAATTTGTATTTGGATATTGGGGCTTACAGTCAAACCAGGCCAAGCGTTCCCGTCGCTAACGTCCCGTCCTAAACTGTTTCGCCTGCCCGCCATTTTTTCAACTGGAGAGCGAGAGGAGCGTGGTGTCCATATATGGCAAGGCTTTTGTTTATTAGTTCAATCAACATTCGATTATTGAATCGAGGCTCGATTTGAATATTGCATTATTCATTTCGTGAATAAACTACGGAACCAACGAACGGAAACAATTTGCTATTAATGAATTTATTAGTTCGTTAGCGACGGGAACGCTTGGCCTGGTTTGACTGTAAAGGGTTAAAAAAACTGGAACACCTTTTCTTCTGGTGCTTAGCTTTGTAGTCAAGCGTACATGCTAGGAGGGATTGTTTGAATTTTTGACATGAAGAAACGGTGTGAAATTTATATTTGGACACGAACTTTTAAAAATTGGTTATATGCAAGACGTAAAGTATGTATTTATAGTGCAGAAAGAGAGAAGTTTCAGATTCAACTGAACTCTACATATTAACTGCCCTTCTTAGATTTTCAGCGTTGGTTAGAAGACAAGATAATGGCGACCGGAGGTTGGGTGGCAGATCTTGACAAGAAAGAACACAAAAACTGGGTTTTGGTTGGATGCGCTCTGAACATTGCCAAAAATGGAATTTCACCAAAAATGCAAAAGGAAATGGAAGCCTGGTACCGAAACCTCATTTCAAGCCCTCCGCTCCAATCTCTTTCACCATGCACTTGTCCGTCTCGTGCTGCCAAATGTACTTCTTGTACTACATGGGAAGCGGAATTGTCACGTCATCACATGGCACCACGACCAAAGATATGCTGGAACAATAGTGACAAAAATCAATGGGGATCTCCGGCTGGGGCGTGGGAAATAGCTAAACTCTTCATGCCAACTCTTGGAACCAGGAAAATGGATGTTCTCGACGCTGAAACAACGGACATTGGTGGTCTCCTAAACTTAATGGAATGGTGTCCTTTTCTCACTCCCCCAGTAAATAAAACAGTTCTATGTAGAGCGAGAGATGAGTGTAGGAATCATTGGGCGCATTCTCCAAAGCAAGAGATTCAAGATGTCGATGTGCCGACCATATTTTCGCATCTGAATAATTTGTTGAGTGACCCAGTGTTTAATGCGGACAAAAAGGCCCAAAAGGCTTCGCAACACTTGCAAGACCTATTCCATCAAGGTCTGGTCAATGTCAGAGATTCTGAAATGGAGGCTCTTCATTTGTTACGTCAGTCACTTGCATCAGATCTGACAAAATGCCAAGATGATTTAACTGATGTTCAGACGAAAGTTGCTCAAGTGGATGCTGAGACTAAGAAATTGTACATGGCAGCCCACAAAGATTTGTCTGACGTAGAAGAAATAGCGGGTGTGAACAAAGACGACATTGGTACGTTAAAAGCACAAGTGGAGAAACTTAGAGTCGATATTCAGAGCGACTTATCTGAAGTGAAAGAACAAGGTGACCTGAACAATGAGGACTTAGGCAAGTTACGGGAGGAGCTGGAAACGCAGTTGAGAGATGCAGAGGCCTACCTCTCCACTGAGATATCCACAGTACTCCGCAGTGTTGATGATTTCAACACTGTACTGAATCAAAGAGACGACCTTCAAGAAGACCTAAATGTTCTCCATGATGACGTGGAAGTAGTAAGAAATAGAATGGTCAACGTTGCTTCTGACCTGAATTTGATACAGTCCAAAGTATTAAACTTTGAAACTAACCTCGCAATTGTAAAAAGTGCAGTGCAAAAGGTAACCATCAAGATGAATACAACCGAAACCAAGATTTCTGGCTTACAGAAGGATTTCATGGATGTAAAGGAAGTGGTGGATAGCTTGAAAGAAAACGGTTTTCAAGCAGAGACGGGCGATGATGAGGACATATTTTGCACCGCACCAAGTAGGTTACCTTCATTTACTGGGCGCACAACAGCTCTGAGTTGGCTTGAAAAGAATCTTGTTCTGGAGAGTGGTGTTCAAAATGGTGCAGAAACTTCCTGTTGTACAAAAACGATATGCGGGCTTGGCGGCTGTGGCAAGACGTCGCTGGCCGTAGAATTCGCGTGGATTAACAAAAGTCGATTCCCAGGAGGCGTGTTCTGGATCAACGGTGAAAGCGATGATAATATACATAAATCAGTTGCTGAGATTCTTGCTCTTAAGAATATTTTCACTCCAAAGAGCGCCAATATGGATGAAACATTGACCCGTTTCCTTACGTGGTTGTCGAATAAGGAGCTCCCATGGCTTCTTGTTGTAGACAATGTAGATGAGTTACAAGACCCAACGTGCCCAACAGGTGTTAAGAAGATATGCAAAGGACCTTGGCAAAGAAATAGTAAATCACCTAAGCGAGGCCACATACTACTCACAACCAGACAAAATGCCAGAGATGCAAGAGCTTTCTTGAAGAACTCGTGTGAAGATTATTTAGAACTGCAGTGTTTCAGTGAGGAGGAAGGCGTGATGTTTCTAATGAATAGAAAAGGTCTTGAAGGAAAATCACCTGAACCAGACGCGGTTGCCCTGACGAAAGAGCTTGGAGCATTACCACTAGCCCTCGAGCAGGCGGCAGCATACATAACTGCCAGTCCCATTCCGTTGAGTTTTGCAGATTACTTTAAAAAGTACCGAGAGGTCAAGTTGCGTCTGTTAAAGCAACAGCCTGCTATAGCGCTCAGTATGGAGGCTCAGCATCGGTTATCAGTTCATACTACTTGGGAGATGAACTTTGCATATGTCAGAGAACAATCGCCAGCTGCTGCCAGCATGATGCGCATTGCGGCCTTCCTGGAATCAGAGAATGTTCCTTTTGCGGTCATCAATCCAGGTTTGCCTGAATTAGATCAGGACGAATTGAAAGAAAAAGCTTCTTGCAATATTGAAATTGCAATGCTCCTGAGGATACTGTCAAGTTACTCCCTCTTCTCAATCAGCAGCCAAAACAAAGTATTTCATGTCCATAAACTTATCCAGGAAGTGGTCAAAGAGAGTCTTACTGCAGAGCAGAAGATAAAGGCATTGGTGGCGGCCTCCCGACTTCTTAATTTTGCGCTATGTCATTGTTCTGAAGCTTCCAAATCTGGATCCGGCGCAGGTTATCTATCAGAACTGAAAGATGAAGAGAGAAGAATTGCAAATGCCCTTCTTATAAATGTTCGCAAACTTAAGAATCATATTCAAGATGAAATTGATTCACACGAAAAGGAATTTGCTCCTTTTCTTTGTAACGATAATAGTATCATCAATTTGTTCCAGTTTGTTGGCATTTTAATTGAAAATGATGTATTCTTCTTTACCCTACGAAAGGAATTATGGGATGTTATTTTGAAAGTTCACAAAGTGAGAGATTCTTCGGATCCAAATCAAATTCTTACCATGAGAACTTCTGCAGCTATTAGTAAAAGGAATGTTCCCGGGCGTGAGAACTACGATGAAGCAAAAAGATTGGCTCAAAAAACTGTGCAGAAGATGGCTGAGTTTGAAAAGTCTGGTTTTGTGATTAAAGACGATATCAAGTATCGTGTCCTTGAGCACATGGCATCCTACTACGCATCAGAAGGGAAATGGAAGGAAAACTATAAAGCTTTGTTAGAGCTCGAAGGCTTGTCGTTGAGTGACGAGAAAGTTGTAAATCTCCAGATCCTGATAGGAAGGGCAGAGAATTTCGTATCTGCTGGTAATTTTGAATGCGTTTTAAAACGTCATCTGAGGGCCCTTGAACTTGCCCGTAAGATCTATCCTTCTGACCACCGTGAACTGCTTCGTGTCTTACAATTTGTAGCTATGCATTTTTATAACGACGACAAGCTGCAAGAGGCTCGAATATATGCAGAAGAAATGCTGCAAATTGCAAAGAAACAACCCCCAGCGTCAGATTATTACCTCAGGGGTATAACGAGCGCTCTGACCGTGATAAGATATTTTGATCCTTACGGGGCTAAGGATATACTCTGTAATATTCTGATAGACAGGTGGCCTGACTTGTACAAAGATATCCAAAGTGGAGCTGTCACAGCAGTTATAAGTGACAGTAAACATGAAGTCGATGATAGTAGCTATGAACATGCATCTATGGTCCTAGTTGAATTAATGATGTCTTTCAGCGCCCATCTGAAGATTGGAAGTAAACTTAGCAAGGAAGAGGGACATTTTTACCGTAGTGTTGCAGAGAAGTTAGTATCACTTCGGAAGCAAACGTATGAAGAGAAGCACCCGGATGTAGCAGAAGCGAACTTCTATCTGGAAATGGTGCACAGTTTCCTTGGGAATCAGGAGACGGCTTTCAAACTTCGCGATCAACTCTGGCAGTTCTCTGCAAATCGAACATCCAGTCATCATGTTTCAAGACCCACGAGACCTCGTTGCGACCATAAAGTACTTTCCGTCAGAAACTTAAAAAACGAAGCTAATGATTGCTTCAAATGCGGTTGTTATTCCAGGGCTCTAAATCTTTACAACGGAGCACTTATTGAATGCCCCAACGATGCTAAGCTAATAACTAATAGAGCAGCTACGTATGTGAAACTTTCAGAGCAACATGGCCTTGGTGCAGAGGCAAAACGGAAATTTCTTCAATTAGCCTGTAAAGACGCGAATGTGGCGTTAACTACAGATCCTTCTTGGGTGAAAGGCTACTACTGGAAAGCTGTTTGTCTCTCTAAACTTGGACAGAGAGGTCCAAGTCTTGCTGCAGCTGCTGTTGCCAAGCACTTTTTCCCATCCCAATGCTCTGGAATACCAGCCGTCGTGGAGCAATTCGGACATTACAGTATAAATGTGATTGCTACAGTTGATGAACTCCTTCAACTAGTCAAGAGAGAGGCCGGAAGGAATCTTGCGATTTTGCTCAAGGAAGGAAGATATGAGTTGACGAAGTCAATGAAAGTTCCAGCGAACGCAGTAATGGTTGGTGTGGGAAAAGTCCAAATTCTCTGCACTAAAGGTGTTCTACTGCGCTTGGATAAAACTGTTTACATTGAGAACATAGAACTGTCATCCTCAGTTGATTCAATCAAAATGCTCAAAGAAAAAGCTAAGGAAAGCCTCAATCGTGGCCAATTAGATGAGGCCTTATCTCACTACAGCAAGGCATTAGCCCTATGTCCAGAAGACCCACAGCTCCTTACAGCTAGAGCGTCAACCTACTTGAAATCAGCAGAGAAAAACCGGAGCATGAATGAGCGGGGATCCTTATTGGAGCTTGCGTTAAAAGATTCAGAGTCTTCTATCAGAGCAGATCCTTCTTGGTTTCTTGGATACCACACCAAGGCAACGAGTTTAGCAGAGTTAGGGAGGAAACACGAAGCCTTGGCCGCTGCTGCTGTCTTTAATCACTTGAGTTCTGGTCGGGATATTTCTTCAGTCATTCAACGTTATGGAGCGCTACAAATCCATGTTTTTAAAAGCTCAGATGAATTGCGCACTGTTCTTCAAGAAATCACAGAGCGTGAGGAATTAAATCAAGTTGTTCTGTTAAAAGAGGGGGATTACCTATTGGAAAAGACCATTGAGATGAAACAAGCAATCGTTGTTATTGGTTTGGGGAAAGTAACTGTTTCGTGCAAGACTGGAGTACCTTTTCAGTTTAGAAAAGAACACTTTGTCGAAAATGTGGCACTTCATAGCGGCTGTGGTGAGGAGCCGACATCACATGAGGCTATGAGTTCAAGAGATGACTCTGGTCGGGAAGAGGACATATCTTTGGACCTACCCTCAGGCTATGACAACTCCAGCGCCAACAGCGAGTGCAAGGTGAACTAACAGGAACTAAAAAGAGAGTTGAACGTAAAGTTAATAACCGTCAAAAGTTATAAGCTTCATGCAGCAAGACAGACGGGCAGTCCTTGCACTAGGATTGACTACAAAATTGCTGAGAAACTTCAAACCATAGGACTGTATTTTGGATGGCAGACTGAAACTTTCCAACCCGTTACTGTGATAGTTGCTGCCACAGACCATGTAACCTGCGGTGGAACAAGCAGGGGGAAAAGACAGTGGAGCGAGTTATACCGTAAAAACGAAAGATGATGAGGTCTTTCTTGTGCACTAAGTTTTGATTCTGTTCCTTCCTTTCTTGTCGACATGATAGCCAACAAATCACTTTTTGTTAGGTAAACCAATAAGACCCGGGCCTTAAACTACATAAGAAGCTGGCAGTACAGAACAGAAACATGAGCAAGAAGTTGTTATAGCTTCCGCAACTAGAGCAAAATTGTCAGATGTTTTGCCGAAAACTCAATATAGCTTTGTATTAGAGGTTTGAGCCTTTTGGATTTGATTAAAGCTACCTTTTGAACCGATCAAGAAGCTAGGCAAAGCTCAGTTAAGCGGCAAAGTTGCTAAAACAAAGCACAACCTGTAGAAGAAAAATTTTTCAATCGATGTTTTTATAGTCTAGAAAGGCTATTTTCCTCTCCAGAACGCGTTTCCAATGACGTTTTTCAGCCTATTTGGCCTAAAAAGGAAGAATAGCGAAATTTAGTATTTTTTACTAAAATTACAGATTAACCCCTTCGGAAAAATGCAAATTTCGCCATTTTTTTTTAATTGATGTTTTTATAGTCTAGAAAAGCTAATTTTCTATCTAGAAAGTCAGCAAAGACTTTTTCTCGGCCTGTATTGCCCAAAAGTCAAGAATGAAAAACTTCAAATTTTTGACCAAATCAATGGACTAACCCCTTTGGAAAAATGCAGATTTTGTGACTTTCATAAACCGTTGTTTTTATAGTGTAGAAAGGCTAATTTTCTATCTAGAACTTTGTCAAGAACATTTGTTGGCCTACTTCATCTAAACAACAGAGAATAAAGAAATTTCGAATTTTTGACGAAAACCATGGACTAATCCCTTAGCAAAAACGCAAATTTTTCCACTTTTTTAATTCAATCTTTCTATTGTCTAGAAAGGCTAGTTTTTATCTAGAACGTTATGAAAGACTTTCTTTGGGTCTGTTTTATGTAAAAAACAGAGAATGAAAAAATTTCAAATTTTCGACCAAAACCATGGACAAACCCTTACAGAGTTATGGGCTCCTGTGCCTTAGCATAAATGCGAATTTTGCCACTTTTTTCATTCGGGTAATTTTATCGTCTAGAAAGGCTGACTTTCTATCTAAAACTTTTCTCTTCAAAGTGCGTCGAGCGCGGGTGATAAAAAACTAACCGCGAGGGATTTATTGACCGCCAGCGCAAGGGGGTAGGGGTGGGGGAAGAAGGGGTTAATCTATGGTTTTGGTCAAAATTTGAAATTTCTTCACTCTCTGTTGTGCAGATCAAATAGGCCCATGAAAGTTGTTTAGATTAAGTTCTAGATAGAAAATTAGCCTTTCTAGACGATAGCATTATTGAATTAAAAAAGTGGCAAAATGTGCATTTTTCCAAAGAGGTTAGTCCATGGTTTTTGTGAAAATTTTCATTTTTTTTTATTATCGGTTTTAAGAAATCAAATAGACCAATCAAAAGTGCTTCATGACGTTCTAGATTCTAGACGATAAAAACATTGAATTAAACTAGTTGTAGCTTTCGCTAAGTGCCAACGAAAGAAAAAGAATTTGCCTACATCACCGGTTTTAGTTCCAATGTTTATAAAACTATTTCAGCTGCTGAGGCGAGAATTTCCACTACAGGTAGTCCTCGTTCCTACATTTCTGCCATGCTCTTGGCCTTAAAATCGTTCTTATTCTTCCGCTTAGACATTTGTGAACCTTAAACTTGTCGAGTTTCAAACAGCGAAAGGGAAATAACATTTATAGGTTAGCGCGAACTTGAAATAGCGAGTTGTAGTTCGTACAAGTACAGTAGTCAGTGAGTAGTGTGGCAGAGAACAATGTCCGAACTTTGAAGGTTTGTTTAAAACAAAGGTCATCAAAAGTCACATGAAAAACTACACGTGAAATCTAACGCTACTAAAATCTCCAGGGAATATACACCTTACATTACACTTTTCACAGCACGATCGAGAATTTTTCCTGCTGCAATACTAGTACTTCGCGTGGCATTAAGCTGGCCGCCTCGCAAGCCGACCGTCTTCGCTCGGCTTGCTTGTTGGCAAAAAGTGTCAAGATTTGCATTTTTTGTAAGGGGCCAGTCCATGGTTTTGGTAAAAAATTTGCATTTTTTTCATTCTCTGGTTTGTAGATCAAATAGGGCAATCAAAAGGATGTCTGTGTGAAAGGCTAGTCACATGATAAACAAAGTACATTTCGATCCACCCTGTCTTTAAGAGTTTTGATTGAGAGGGATGGGAAATAGGCTCTTGCAATTGTAGCTGGTGTGTCAGCTGGTGTTGTTTTAATTTATGCGACTGGACCCAGGCTCCCAAACACCGTGACAAAAGGAGTGGGCTTACATATCACATTACACTTTCACTTCCGCCTAAAACTTGGTTGATATCAACGTAATTTTGATAACTCTCCAGCCTATTTTACTACTTTTAAAGAGGGTGAAACTGTTTCCACAACTTCTGAGAGGAGTGAAATATGTAAGTATTACTTTATTGAACTTTTTTACTCCGACCTTGATCTAGAAGATGATCGTGCCGCAACAAACGCCCTCAGTTTCGATTTCATTTTATCCAAGTGCATGGCTATAACGGATAAATGTTAGCCTTTGAAAGCATTTTGTAAATGCCCCAGCGAAGGCTGGCAAATTAAATGATTTCTGGTTTGGTTCTTGTGTTCCCTTAAGCAGTGATCGAGTTATTTTCTGCAAAATTGGTCCGTGGGTTATTCGTCCATTTAATTTTCAATTCATAAACAAAAATTGAAAATCAATGCGTGTATCTTAGTGCCAACCGTTTTTCGATGGCATAAAAAAATGGAATTCAAATTTCATTTTTATTTTTCGTTTTTCTTCGGCCTTGTAAAATGGAA